CCTGCATGATCAATTTCTAACATTCGTTGCGATGTTCATGAACAGAGGATGATAGGAAACGGAACTAACATTAATAGATTTTTGGTTTGCGTGTACCCGTTCCAGGTTGGCACTTGAGCTAAAATAAACTCGGTATTAGTTTAATCGTTTCACAGTCCGAACAGTCGATGAGGATCCGTAGGATTTGTATTAGTCCCAAACAATCGAATTCCCTTTAATTTCGCAGTGACCTCGATCACGCGTGATATATTGTTTGGTTGGTATGATGAGTCAGGCTTTTGTTCGCGTGAAATTGGGCGGATTAAGTACTAGTAACAATTGTACCATTGTTGTACTTCTCGACTGTAGTGGAAGCCCGAAATATCCGGTCAAAATGTCTGGATGAAGGTCAGAATTCGCTTAGAATCTGCCAGGGACTCCTCCTCGAGCCTTGGGTACAGACTTGATCCCCTTTTAATCACATGCATTTTTTATAAGGAATAGTGGCCTCAGGGATCATTCATATGACTTTTTTTATAATTTCCCGAGCCTCTGACATGATATACAGAGTTCCTAACAGTTCATTTTTCCCAAATTTGCTAGATCCCCTTTTATCGACATAAATTCGAATATTATTTTTTACACATATCCCGGGATCAAATGTGATGAATTCTGGGGGATCGGGTCTCCTCAAACAGAGTTTTATTTATTTCACCCTCATATCTCAGGATTAAGTGTGTGTATTCCTTAGGGGGATCTAAACTCCAAAAGGGTTTTTTCATTGCTATAGTCACTCTTGAGTCATTTGTGAATTGTCCGGGGATGAGATTTGAACTGGTGACTTTGGTGTGAGAGATATGGACTACGCCGCGGCTGAGACCCCCTCCCCCCCCCCCCCCATAAGCTCCCTAACTATGATTTCAACTTCAATCTAATCTATGTTTTAAATCTAATTTCCGTCCTACTAAGCAGAACCACCACTCAACCCTTTTTTTTCAAACGGATATGAACTCAAAAATAGAGTGATTTTACTATAGATGACTTTCAAATTTACTTACCTTTCTATACGTACCGTTGGATTTGATAAAGAATCACAAATTATTTTGATATTGTAAGAAATCTAACACTGCTTTTTGATTGCAAATTCGTTCTACTAGTTTCAATTCCGTCCTAACGCATTGAAATGCAATTGGTTTTTCTAGGTTTTCGTTCTACGAATGAAGACAGAAAAAAATAAATTTGCTAGGAGTGCTTCTTTTGTTTTGAAAACAGTGAGTTTAAATATTCATACAACGCACTCGTATAGGCTTTTTTGGGGCCTCCTTTAGCTCAGTCGGTGAAGGCGCAGCTACAAAGCATGACCATGCTGGAGGTGGCGGGTTCAATTCCCGGTCCGGTCTAGGAATTTTTCGGGTTGGAAAATTTCTCGACTTCCCTGGGCATAGAAATATGATTGTACTTGCCACACAATTATACCAATGCAAAAGACTCGTATAGGCTTTATGTTGTAGCGAAGACATCATATCAAGAAGACTGGCAACTTTGCCAGAATCCAAGCGACAGATACAATAGCACTGCGCTGTAGTGAAGGTGGAAGCAACGCATAGAAAAATGAGCAAATACACAAACCTTTCTTCTGAGGATGTAATCTTTGCTATCAAATTCGTTCGAAGCATTTACCTTTGAGCGGCAGATGACGCGATTGTACCTGTCTCATAGCGTTCGGTTGAGAAAATTGAAGAGTTGCCAGTCTTCCCAAGTAGCACACATTCGTCACAGAAGGTTGCGGCAACTTGATTGTGACCAAAATAAGTCACATAGAGGTAACCTCAATAGGTTTGTGACCAGTGTGCTACTAGGGTTCTTGATTTATTGTCTTTGGTTGTAGCTATTGTCGTAACTGGGCATCATCCTACTCGAGTTTTGGCTGGATTGCGCTACTTATTCAAATAAGAGGGCTTTTCGTGCCAAGTTCTCGATCGTAGTAGGCTGCTGATATTTGGTGATCGGTACTCGGTGGTTGCCTTGGTTACCATCGACAGAGGGCTCGCTTGGAGACTCTCACTTCCAGAAGAAGGAGAGGGCTCGCTTGCTCGTCGTTCGGTCGGTTCGGTCGGTTGTTGCTGGTTGATTTGCTGGTTCAGCCGGGTTGCCTTCGTACCGTCGTTCGGTCGGTTTTCTTGCTTTCAAAGTAGGTAGATGCTACCTTTTCAGCGTCAGAATGGAGAATGACCCACATGGACAGTACATCCAACCGGTGAACACTCGTGTTTATTTCAGTTACCATGGAGACGTAATTTGTGATTAGCCCCGTTCCCTTTCAAATTGTATCATTATTTATGAACGGCCTTATATTTGAAATGACGTTTCACATTCATCTAGTGATGTCCGATTTTCATTCGAATAATCGTTTAATCGATTAACGAACCGAAAAGTAAACTATTTATAATCGGTTAGATCATGCCGATATAAGCATTAACATCTCCACAGGATCATCACCGATCGTTTCAAACATGTGCTGCACTCTCATTCGTGGAAAAATGGCAGCACAGCGAACAAAAAATAATCGATTAGTTGTTAATCGAGTAATTAAAAAATGGGACATCTCTGATTTTGGTGTGATTGTTTTGATAAAAATGAGCGCAAAATTTCATCTCTTCCGAGGGGGCAGCAAAACCACAAAATTACCTTGAATACGTGGGGTTCTCATTGGATGAAAGGGACCGTGAAAGAAGACACTAAAATAGAAAGTTTTTCTTCCGACAGTTTCATCTTAGTATTCATCTTTGGTACATCCTCCTTAAATAACTGAAGGCTTTTACACTTCAACCAATCAGAGATTGCGAAGAAGAGTTCAATCTCATTAGGGAAGTTCAAATATTCTTATTACTATTATTATTATTATAATTAGTAATGGCGGTTACCAGCTGATTAATGGGGAAATGACTTCGTTAATAATTTTGTATATGCTGGATATTAAAACACTATTATTATTTTCTAATTTTATTTTATTTATTTATTTTATTTGCTCATCGCACCTCTAAACTACAGCTATGAGCTAACGCATTGATACAAACGTATTATTGATTTGTGTACGGTGAAATATTGGATATTATTGATGGTTTCTGCTCGATAGAACCGTATAAAAAAAATATAAAGATTTTTCATGCTGGATAAAAAAAAAGGCTTAGGGCGAGGGGGCGACATATCTAAATCTATATTCTAGATGTTTAAAAACTATAAGGGACAGCCCTATGGGGTTGTACGCAATGGTGACGTAGGACTACGTGGACTTGTATAATATAAATCTTATTTTTTAACTGCAGCAGGAGCTTGTGTTTTGTGTAGGAATAGGAAATTGAGTGGGGTTCTCTCTGTTTACACTCTTTAGTATGATGCGCTTGACATAGATGGCCGACAGCGACTCACGAAGAGCTAATGATTCCGATCAATAGCTATGCGGCTTCTTTCTTCTTCTATGGATGGTCATGTGGGCTGCAGCTCGCTGCTTGCAGGTAGCCTTTCGTTGTGTACTGGAGAACACCACCACTCACCACGCGGTGATTTAATAAACACCGTTTGGTGAGTGCGGATGGAATTCAACTTTTAAATCTATGTTAGGGAAATCGCTTTTCGCAGGCAATCGGCGATAATTTTAATTATCAAAGCAAAAGTTGCACATTCGTGCAATTTTCAATAGTGACATCTAAAAAAAATTTAAAGTCTTAAATGTAACAGATGTGTAGAAATATATCTGATCGATTGGTGATAAAATTATTGAAATTGGTCCAGGGGTAGCTGAGTTATTAACGTTCTTTCATTTTTTGTTACATATTCCATTTTCGGTTTTCACAAAGTGTATAGAAATCACAGACGTAGTCCTACGTCAAAAAATCTCACACTAGCGAATCAACCCATGTAACATTTCTGGTTTTATGAAGGTTCTGTAGACCATGATTTAGACATGTAGAATGCTATAAAACCTTGATAAAACTTGCAATGTTGCTTGGGAATCTTCGAAAAATCATCTTCTTTTGCATCGCGTTTATCTTTTTGCAGGAAATCTTCAAAATCAACATAAATCTATCTACTCAGCATGCGTGCAGCTAGCCACAGCAAAACACAATCTTTTCTGGATCGTAGATAGAGTTGTCCCCCTCGGCTTAGGGAGCAAAAACCTAAGAACTGCTCTCAAAAATATATTTGTTTCACAATCTGACGTAAATATCACAATAACATTATCTTCCGTCCAGACGAAACTTTGTGGAAACTCACCCGAAAAATCGACTGTCCCCAGGGATCAAGTTTGTCCAGTTTCTTCTACGCTACAGTTTATTGCAAGAACTGTCATTACATTTATTGTAAGAAACATTTGGGATTTTTTATTATTTCCGGACAAAATGGGCCGAATGTTCTCAGAATGATTTGAAATTTCGCCACAGGTAGAGTTTATGATCATATGAATGAAACAAAAATTCAAAAAATCACTCAAAAAATTATGTTTTGCTTTTTCTGTGATTTTTCTCCTTGGTGAAAATGTTCGTTGGTAATATTTTTTTGATTATATTTTATGTGGATTGCTGCGATAATTTCCTCATCATTTGGTTCATGAGTTATGATTTTTCAAAGTGGGTCATGTCTGGAATAATCCGAAAACAACAACTATGGTTTTCCCGGAAAATTTACCACCCAGTTTTTTTTTTTTATTTTTGTTTTGTTCAAATGATTATACTTGTAGGCTAAATTTCATAATATTCTGAGAACCTTTGGCCCAATCCTGTCTGATAATTTAAAAAATTCCCCAAGTGCAGAGGATGTAAACAATGCACACTTACAGTTATCGTTCATACCATTTGTTCTACGTGTATCTGTTTAAGTTAACAACAACGCAGGAGAGGAATTTGCACGACATTTCCCATTTTGCAATTTCATAGTTTTCTTCTTTTTACTATACAATTCACAAAACAGGCCATTTATCCCCACTCCTGACTAATTTTTATTTTTTCCCATTTAACTTACAGACTGACACGATGAAGGTTCTCTGGTCCTACGGCGATCGGGATCCGGTTCATGGTGATGTGAAGGATCACGGAAAAAACCGGGGTGCCCGCTCCATCCACTTTCTTGGACCATCGTTCAAAAAGCCCTCGGACCCGCAACTGAGAAACGACATGCGCCAGTGGGATGTTACGGTGAAGAATGTCTCAATCGACGCCAGTATGGACACGCTCTACTGGTGCAAAATCTTAAAAGCTCCTACCCTAAGGGAAAAACATCACATCATAGGATACGAGGCAATACTGACCAAAGAGAGGTGAGCACCAGCAATAGATACTTATGACAGATTGCTTAAATTTATCAAACGTCCTGAGAATCACTCATTTTGTGATCTATGATTAATTGAACTGCATTATAATTGGTTGTTAATTAAGGTTATTATGTTCAAGCATGATTAATAGTTGACGCTGAAATTAACTGATAAACTGATATGATCCTTATTAATAATTGACATCATGTTAAAGTATTATTACATTCGAAAACATATACAGTACACAGGTACATGTATGATATATGATAAATCCTACATGCCGTAAAATGAAGAATGATTCGTTGCATCGGTCGCATAATTAACTATAACGATATGCTACCTAGGAAGCAATCAATTATAGATTGCATACATTGGACCTCGATACTGTTACCATCCATTCTCTTCATCTCATTTCACGATCGCCACATAGATGGGCAAACTTTATCAGACTAATTTCAATCTATATTGCAGCTCTACGAAACAACCGCTGGTACATCATATGACTCTGTTCGAGTGCTCTCCAAATTCCTATCCCGGATCCGACCCAAACTCGTGGGATGTGTGGGTTAAAAGCAGCGGAGCAGTTTGTAACAGTAATCTACTTACTCCACGCGATTGGGATTCCTGTATAACACCAGTAGCAACGTGGGGAGTAGGCGCTTCGGGACAATTCCTTCCAGAGCACATAGGTATTCCAATTGGGGGTAACAAAGGAGGTGCAAAATATTATATGCTAGAAGTGCACTACGATAATCCACGGGCTAAACGAGTCTTGGACCATTCGGGGTTTAGAATGCACTACACAAGACATGTACGGCAGTACGATGCAGGCATGATGATTTCTGGAGTTTCCATTTCCGACACTCAAATGATTCCACCGGGACAAAAACTATATCGGAATGTGGGAATTTGTGGTCCTTCGTGTACGGGAGCAGTGTTTCCAGAGGATGGAATAAATATTGTATCAGCAGCATTACATTCCCATGTTGCTGGCCGTAAAATGAAGCTTAGACACGTGCGAGATGGAAAGGAACTTCCACGGATAGTAGAAGACGATAACTATGATCACAATTTCCAGCAAATTCGTCAAATGGAGAATGAAACTACAATCCTACCAGGGGATTATCTGATTACGGACTGTGCTTACGAGGTATTTGTTTGCTGTTCCATCCAAAACTGTAGATTCTGATAACTTTTTTCTTCCCATTACAGACAATCGGCAGAAAGCGACCAACGTTGGGTGGTTATTCCACGAAGCAGGAAATGTGTCTCTCGTTTATCACATACTACCCTAAGATCGATCTCGCCGGTTGCTACAGTATGACCCCCGTGAAAGAATTCTTCGAAACATTTGGGGTGTTCCAGTTCTATTCGATGAATATGACCGACGTAGAGAATCTATTTCTCTACAATGGAAACATTCTTGATTTGCTTCCTACCACCGTTTTCCCCAATTTTGCTCCGGGAGGAGATATTGACGACGAACAGAATCAGATCGCCATCAAGGCGCTTCAAAATGCGAAAGAGTACAGCATCATAGATGAGGAAGACATCCTCTACAAAGAATCGATTCTGAACAAACTGATCATCTCGGATCCAGTAGAATTCCACGATCGAACGTTTCTGTCACACCTGAATCAACTACCTTGGCAGGAGCCGCTATTCACCAGACGAGTCGAGCAAAGCATTCTTACTGGGAAGCACATGACGTTCTGCAGGGTCTCGAATGAATCCATTTCTGTGGTAGGTACCAATATGTACACTTTAGTTACGCATAAGTTAATCGCTTTTGAGCTCACCTGAGATGCTTTAGAAAGAGCGCATCTTTCAATCGTATTTTTCCTCTCTATATATAATCTTGTAACTATTCTACTATTGAAAACAAAACCTTATTTTTCCTTCAGGCTGCCGAAATATTCAAATACCCTTCCTTCGAAGCGTTCGTCAAACCACCAAGCCACTGCCCATATCACCTCTTCATGGAGTTCAACCAATCGTCAAGCGCGAGAAAAATATCCAGCACGAAGGCTCTGGTACTACTGCTGCTGTTAGTCATTCGTCGCTACCTTTGAAGCGAATTCCAGCACGATGCCATCCTTGACAATTTCCAATTGGTTCAACCATCTGAAAATGTTTACCCTCTTTTATGTTTAAGAACCTTCCCTGTTCTAATTTATTGTCCTTTTAATTGCCCATCCCTTTACGTTTACATTTTCGAAAGTAAGTCTCTAATTTATTTAAATTCGGTGTTAATTTTTACTACTATTCACACTTATCTTGTCCAATCTCAAGTTAGGTTTTAATTGCGTAGCACGATTTCGACGATGTTCGTTTTACTCAAGGAATCAGATAAATTGTTTTCCTCATATACCTGTACCTCTTTATATCCACGGATTACACTCGAATAGAGCTGAAAGTATGCCAAAGTTTAATATAATTTTCTACGAATATTCGAGTAACTAGATTGTATCAGATCGATTAGTAGACGTTACACTTACACTTACGCTTACAATAGAAGCAAACAAAATGTAGAAGCTTGTCTAATTCATGGGTGAGTTGTTTTTAGAAAACTTATAACTTCACTGCTTCACTTCGGTCAAACATTGTACATGTATAGCAAACTACTGAGTCAAATTATTTGAAATTTAATTAACAGTAGGAAGTAGGAGTAAGTTTATTGATGCTTCTTTTTTGTAAATAATTATGGAAATTACTTAATACGTTTCACCGTAATACGCCTGTTCATCATTCATGCAGAACCACAATTCTTCATTGAAATATAGATAAAAATTACGTTGATGCAAATAAATGTGACAATTTAAATGAAACGTTGTATTGAAATTATAAACACTTAATTTAGCTTGCCTACACTCGGCAATTACGTTTGGTTGCTAAGTCTCGGAAAATGTTTCACTGATTCTCAGCAAACAAACGTGATGTGTGCTGATATCTCAGTAGAATGTGTTGCCTGTGCAAATCTTAGAAAAGTAATGCTGAAATGGGGAAAACAAAACTGAGTGTGACTACATTTTTACTTTCGTCACATGGACTACAAATAATTAATTTAATAGAATACAGCTTTAGGCAAATGAACGGTGAATGGGTGCATTATGGCAGACTGTATGTTTATGTTGTTAACTTAAAACTTGTATACTATTAGGAAATTTATTTAATTTGCTTGATAAACCTTAAATTAACTTTAAGGACTATACATTCAAAATAGAGTTAACTTTGAAATACGTATAGGTATATTTAATAAATCCGAAAATCCAGAACCTTTTTAACAACAACAATAAATCAAGTCAGATTATCCCTCGAATTAAATGCTCCTAAACTACCCATTACATCCTTTTTGTTTTAAATGATATTATTGAATATATTTTTTTATATCGTAATTTGGCCGTTCACCCACTTTTCGTTGAGAAACAGTTCTCATCTTCTGCGGGCCTATGGCATATTATAATGATAAGTTGTATTTGTAAGATGCATGAAGAAGATGCAAAGTTTGTGTAGGAGAAAAGGAGGTGAAATGCCCATAGTGGGCAAAATGCGACCCCTTATATCTCAGCTGCTAGCTGATGTGATGGCGAAAAAATTCTGGCACACTTTGCACTTCGAACGCACTAAATATGTGAATTGATGTAAAAATCTGATTATTGAAAGTCATTTGAATTTTATAAAATTTAAAAACGATTTTACAAAAGTTATTCCACGAAACATCTAAAATCTCTAAACAATACCAAAATCAACGATTTGATTGATGCAAGTTGTTATGTACATTCTTCATCTTTCGGCTCTTTAGCGCTCAACATGAAAAATAATAGTTATTTTTAACAATACTATTTGTTACTCTAAGTGGGGCACAATGCGCCCCGATAATTGTACTGTGGAAAGCATAAGCATCAGGCGTGAACTGAGCAATAGAGGAAGAACAGCCTAAATGTATGCATTCTTGGCATGAAATCTCCCTTACCACTTACCAATCAGGCTAAGGCCTTGTTGTCCTCTGCTGTCCGAAGAAGTCGTTTCCACTCTACTCGATCTATGGGCATGGCCACACTTCACCAGCCTCGTAGTCTGCGAAGGGTTCGCAGGTCGCCTTCCACTTAGTCGATCCACCTTGCCCGCTGTGCGCCTCTTCTTCTTGTTCCTGTTGGGTCGCTTTCGAGAACCATTTTCACTGGGTCGTCGTGCGGCATTCTTACGACGTGCCCAGCCCACCGTAGTCGCCCAATTTTTGCAATGTGAACGACGGATGGTTCTCCCAGCAGCTGGTGCAATTCGTGCTTCATTCGCCTCCTCCACGTTCCGTCAGTGTGATATTCGTTTCCGCCATCGTCTCAAAGCTCCATGCCATGATGTCGATGTCATCGATGAAGGCAAGAAGCTGGATGGACTTTCTGAAGATCGTACCACTCGTGCCTATCGATGTTGAATAGCAGACATGAAAGCCTTGCCGTAACCACCTTCGAGATTCGAAGGGACTCGAGAGTGTCCCCGATACTCGGACAATGCACATCACTCGATCCATCGTCGCCTTGACCAATCGCGTCAGTTTATTGGGAAATCCGTACTCCTGCATAATCTGCCATAGCTGATCTCGATCGATTGTGTCGTATGCGGATTTGAAATCGATGAACATATGATGTGTGGGCACGTTGTATTCGCGGCATTTCTGCAGAACCTGCCGAATCGTTGAAATTGGGTCCGTGGCGCGGGCACCCATGAATCCCACCTGGTATTGCCCCACGAACTCTCGCCGGCGGAATAGAATTTGGGAGAGTACCTTGTAGGCGGTGGTCAGCAGTGTGATCGCGCGGTAGTTGCAGGAATCCAACTTGACGGCCTTATTGAAGATTGGGCATACGACACCTTCCATCCACTCCTCCGGTGATATCTCCTCCTCCCAATTCTTGGCAATTACCCAGTGCAACGCTCTAGCCAGTGCTTCACCACCGTATTTTAATAGCTCACTTGGTCGAGAGGCACGCACTAGTCTTTCAATACTACGCAGCCTACTGACCAAATATTTAAAATCTTTTTATTACTGCTTTTATTACTTTAAATACACTCTAAATTTCGTTAAATACTTTAAATACTGACAATATTTGATACTTAAATTATTTTCAAAACATTTACAGGGTGCGTGACGAATTTTTGCAGTAAATGGCATATTTGAGAAAAAATACACCAGTTAGTTATTCTAGCAATGAATTTTGTGCGATTTATTTTCTTTCGCAACATATGGAAGTTGTAAGTAAATTTATTCAAAAAAATTGCCTTCCCTTTCGACGACTGTAGTTAGACGCTTCCGGAAACTGCAGTATGCACGTTTTAAAATGTTTCGATCCATAGATGTCATCACTGCCTTGATTTTAGCTTTTAGCAACTTAAGTGTGGTGTGAGGGGTTCTATTGGTATCCCGTTGGACGACGCCCTATACAAAATAATCCAACGGATTGATATCGGGACTGCTTGGGGGCCAAATTTCTTCCTCCCAAATTTACGAAATATTTTCCGTAAGCCATTTCTGTTCTTTATTAGCAGTATGAGCAGGTGGTCTTACACTTTCCCAAGCCTTTTTTAATATTATACACTGTTCTTTCAGACACATTTACCGACCGAATTATTTCTTTCATGCATACTCCGGCGCGCAACAAAGCGAAAACGGCTGACAGATTGCTCTCTTGTTTCAACATCTTGACGTTTACTCAACATTGTCTGTTTAAATCTTACACCTAACAGTATAAGCTATCCAGTGCTGCCAAATATATCTAAATCATGATGCACAAGCATGAGAAATGACTATTTGAAATTTACTGCAAAAATTCGTCACGCACCCTGTAAATTATTTGCGATTATATTAATTATTGTTAATTATATGTTGATTACTTTCAATACCGCTAAAAGTATTAAAAATCAAATGATTACTGTCCTCAAAGTATTTAAATTACTACGATCTATTTTAACTATCACGCACTCATACCTGGTAGTGCCAGTTGCTCAATTTAGCGTGAAATGAAATACAAGTCTACGTGAATGAATGTTTACATCACAATTAAAATTCAGAATTTTTATCTGTGTATGGGCATTTTTCCTCCATCTCCCCCCTATGACACATTTTTCGCATTCAGAGGATCACAAAAAGCGATTTTAAAAAGTCGTGAATAAGCACTTATCGTTATAGCTTATCGCTAGTTGTGATACTTAATAAGCGAAATTTGCATATAAATATGTCATATACAAACTTTACATCTTCTTTTTGCATCTTCGGCAAATTAGAATGGGAGCGGGACATTTCGGCGAAGGTAATTTCGCCGAATGGGTCATTTCGCCGAATGGGTAATTTTGCCGAATGGGTCATTTCGCCGAATGAGTAATTTTGCCGAAGAGCAAGCCATTTTCTATGGTTTTTGTACTTTTCTCAAAGCTCAGTAACTTTTTAAATCAGTTTCGAAAAAAGATTAAGAAGGTTCGACTTTTCAACCTGGCAAGCTATTCGAATGTAATGCTTCATCGTTTTGAACTTGAGCAGTTCTTTTGAGTTGTACTCATTTCAGAAATGTTCAAATAATAGATATTTTTGATTTATAGGCACTGCCGCAACCGCAACAGAATGAAGGAGGATAAAGCCAGCTGTTTTGCTCGTTTAACCACTAGAACGAAAAGCGATGCAATCGAGGTTCTGAATACTTTGGGTGAAAACCAGCACGAGCACGATAGCAGGAAAGTGGATTAATTTAAATTCAAAAATGCAATCAAACGGCAGGCACAGCATGATTCTGGTTCACCTACATGGAGGTCGGTAGCGGCGGATTTTCCTGGATCAGTGCAAGAAAAGCGCAAAGGAAACTAATACATCGAGCCCGTCCGATTTCGAAATGGAATGATGACTCTGCGGATAGGTGTGAAGTTCCTGAAACTCTTAAACGCACGTTGGACGATGCCAAGTTTTTCCAAGGGGAAATCATATTTGAAGATGACATAGCGTTTCTATTCACAGCACATGAGTATTTGAAAATGCTAAATTCATCTCTATTCGTGATAGCTAATGGCACGTTACAGTGTATGTGCTCATGACCAACAAAAGTGAAAATTTGTACAAACAGGTCCTGGTCAAGGTATCGGAAGTAGCATCCAATATTGACATTGATTTAGTCCCTCAGGTAATCCTCACTAACTTTGAGCTAGCAAT